GTCGGGAAAGGTCTTGGAGGGTTTTGCCAACCAAAATGCCTTTGGTAGCCAAAAAGCAAGTCTTTAGTGACCAAAATTTTGGTCGCCAATAGTCAATTATATTTCTTTAAAATTATACATTTACCGACGAACGTTTTAGTCGCCAATAGTCGAGGAATCGCCGACCAACACCTTTAGTCGCCAAAAGCTTCAAACATGAAAAAAAAAATTAAAATAAAAAATTTATAAAGCAATTTGATCCGCTCTTGCGGAGACTCAAACCGCCAGCCTCCCACACCATAAACCTTATGCACTACACTCTTCCCACTACGCCTCTATAGCACCACATGATTGTATATGTGACATACATTATTTATATAGTACATACACCCATATTTATATAAAAGTATATGTATAAACATAATTATTTTATTGCATAATTATATAAAATAAACTATTTAGTAGCAAAATAAAAATAAAAAATTAACTTTTAGCGACCAAAATAATTTTAGTAGCTAAAAATGACTACTTTTGGCGACTAAACTTATTTTTTTGTCGCCAATTGTGGACTTTTGGCTACTAAAATTTTTTTAGTCACCAAAAAGTTTACTTTTGGCTACTAAAATTTTTTTAGTCGGTAAAACCCATATAATCAGCGACCAAACTTATTTTTAGTCTCCAATTGTAGACTTTTGGCTACTAAATTTTTTTAGTCGCCAAAAAGCTTTACTTTAGACTACTAAAAGTTTTTCAGTCACTAAAACCCATATAATCAGTGACCAAACTTATCTTTAGTCACCAATTGTAGACTTTTGGCTACTAAAATTGTTTGGTCGCCAAAAAGCTTTACTTTTGGCTACTAATGCTGTTTTGGTCGCTGAAAACTATATTTTCAGTGACCAAAATTTTTTTAGTCGGGAAATTTGGTTGCCAAATATGTTTTTTCTTGTAGTGTGGGTTATGCAACTCTTTTACATGGATCAAGCCCTGTGGCATTGTTTGTCTAGATCTTGAAGAAAATCATGGCCCAACCAGTTATTACATTGAAGTACAGTTTACTATGATATATTAACAAACATTTAATGGGCAAAACTCAAAAATACCACTCATCAATTTGAAACAAACATGTTAAACGAGTAAGAGGTTAATACACTCCACGAACTTGACTCTTTCAAGCACAAAGCTTTCCACTTGAAATTTTCTAAATTCAGTACATCAATTCTACTGTGTAGGTTTTGCTAAGTAAAAATGATAAGGGTTAAATCCTAATTATGGTTTTGGCTTAGGGCATTTTATCGACATTTAAATATATATGCAAAAGTGCCCTCACGTGATTTTGACTCGTCTTGCACTTTACCTTCCTATGTTATTAATTTTGTCCAAATTGACAGAAATTATGTCACATGAGCCTATTTTAAGAGTTGGCATAAAAAACAAACAGTTAAAAGTCAAATTTAGTGTAAAAAGACAAATTTTCCATTTCATTTTCTTCTTCCCCATTTGAAAACCCTAACCCTAACTCATCCACTCTCTCTCACCACCATCCCCGCCACCTCTCCCACCTCTCTGCTACCATCCCGCACCTCTCTACCATGCCGCCACCTCCCCTCTAGCACTACCCTGGTTTCACAAATAACTTTCATTTATTTACAACATTCATTGCAAAAATTGTCTCAAAATCACTAATTATAGCAACATACCCAAGCAAGTTCAAACAAAATGGAGGTGAGTCTGAACCAAAGAAGTATTTTCTTTTTTTTTTTTTTTTTTTTTTTAAGGAAAAAAACCAACAAAACAAAACAATGTGTAGATCGCTGCACCTGAGTCATTTTCATCTTCTTTTTTCTTTTTTCAACTAATCTCTTCAGGCTAATTGAATTTCAAAGTAAACAATATACATATACACAACCCACACACACACTTATATATATACAGATCACATATATATATATATTTTCTTTGGGTTTGAATTTCAATATTAAAAAAGAAATTTCAAATCAAAATCAAATGTGTAACATGTAATGTAGTGGGATTACTGGATCTTAAAACCATGATTCAGGCTGGTTGTTACAGTGGGTTGAAATTCAAACCCAAAATCAAATGTGTATATCATATGATGCAGTGGGATTGCTGGATCTTAATAAAACCATGATTTTGGCTGGGAGTTACAATGGGGACTAGGGAGTAAGACAGTGTTATAGTAGTGAGAGAGTTATAGTCTTTTTGCAATATCCAATAAAATAGTTATTTTAGTTCAATTTATGTAGGGGTAAAGTGTTCCAAGGTGAAACCACAAGGGGTAGAGTGGATTTTGCTCAATGATAAATTACAATTCATTAATCCCCAAAAATGCAGTTTACCATTATTGATTATTACCTAATACTATTACATACTTCAATTAATCAGCTGAATTATCCAAGCAATTCAACGCAAGGTCAAAAGAACCCATTTGGTTTCCCCACTGGGTTTTGAAAATCAAGACATAATCAATATGGTGTTTCAATCTTCAAAACTCCATAGGACTAGTATCCATATGAATACACATATATATGCATATATATAAAAACTAGGAATCAAAATCCAAAGTAGCATCGAGATATCATCAAATGTGAAAAACCCAATATAGTACTTGTAAAGGTGAGAGAATTGGGATGAGAACGCGATTGCCAACGAGCTCCACCAAACCCACTAATCTGTGATTGGACAAGAGTTGACGAACTCCACGAAGCTATTTCCATCCCCCCCCCGTTGCAATTCTCTCTCTCTCCCTCTCTCTAAAAATATTTCTCTCTCTCACAAGAATGGGTGGGTGAGGCGTTAACGGTTAGGTAGTGAGAGAAAATTTGGTGCTTTTGTTTTCCGTCTCTCTAGTCTCTACCTGTAACCAAAATTTCAGCCCCTGAATAAAAAATAATAATAATAGTAATAATGAAATTATTTAGTGAGAAATCATTGTTTTGAAAAATAGTTTTTCTATTTGTATCCTATTGCCGCTAGATCGTCTGACTGCCACTGGAAAATGGTTGAAAAAGTTCGTTGTAAAATTGTTGACGCAACGATCGTTAATGGTGGTGATTTGGACATATAGATAGATTAGATAGACAAATAAACAAATTAGGTGACACGTGAATAAATATGGTGACGACACGTGAAAAATACGTGAACAGATATATAATATTTAAATAAATAAGTGATGTTGACAATAACATATAGATAGATAAGAAAGAATAATATGGTCAAATTATTCCAAAAGTTTTCAAATTTGACTTATGACTGAGTTTCTTTCGATAAATTACAAATATGTCTCCTGAGATTTGTCAAAAATATATATTCTCTCCACTACAACATTTTCTTAGTTTAGTGACATTTGAAAGTGCCACAAAACTATTCTTCTAATGATATTTTTTAGTCTTGTGGCATTTTGAACAAGTGCCATTTCTATCGGTGCCACGGTAGATACTAGTGCCACGGTAGATATTTGCAAGTGCCACTACACCATCATGGCTAAAAACTTTCAATGACATTTTGATGTTATGATAGATACTATTTGTGACACTATCAAGCGCCATTAAAAAAAGAGTTAGTGACATTTCTAAGTGCCATTACACCATCAAGGCTACACACTTTCAGTGACACTTTAATGTCATGGTAGATACTATTCGTGATGCTATCAAGTAGGGGTGAGCAGCGGATATACCGATCCGCCAAAACCGACCGAACCAAACCGATCCGCCGCATTTTGGACGGATGCGTGATGACGAGCGGACGGTTGCGGATTGATTTTCTCAAATCCGCCAATTTGGCGGACGGATGGCGGATTTGAGATTTTTTGGCCGCAACCGAACCGCCAAACCGCCAAATCGCGAGCACCCCTAGTAATTTATAAGACTTTGTATTTTTAATTTGTTTAAATATTATATTTGTGTTTTCAATTGAAAAAGAGTTTAAATATTCTGTTGAAAAAAACTTTTCAACTTGAATATATTTTTTGAATTGAAAAAAATAAACGTATTATTCATATATATTTTTTAGTTTTTAAATGTAACTCTAAAAATAATAAATACAAAATATGATATATGATATATGCTGGTTGATTTTTGTTTTCAAAAACATATGTAGATGTAACAATACAGAGACATTCAATCTCTACTACTGCTTTGTTCATGGTTTTGGTGATTTGAATTGTTATTATATTTTAAGAATCACAGATTGTAATACTTTATGGGGATGAATCATACTGTGATTGTAATATGTGGATGAGGCATGCAGTGATCATGATATTCTAAAGTTTCAAACTTTTTTTCTTTGGATAAGGCATACAGTGATTGTAATATTTTTTTAAGTCATTGACTGTAATACTTTCTTTTTCTTTTTTTTCTTTTTTCGTTTGAGGAAGTGCACAAGTTGAATTATGTTGAAAATTTATAAAATTTTAAACCGCCAAACCGATTCGCATCCATCCGCCAAACCGCCATCCGCTCAATCCACATCCGCCGGATTGGCGGACGGATGCGGATTGATTTTCTTCAATCCGCCAATCTGGCGGACGGATGGCGGATTGGAGGTTCCGTGGCCGCAACCGACCCGCGCCCACCCCTACTATCAAGTACCATTAAAGAAGACTTGTAATTTAAAAAGTGCCGCTACATGGAATTTTAATGACATTTGTTATCTTACAATTAATATAAATGCCACTAAATCCAATTCATTTATGCCATTAAATGGATATAAGTGACATTGAAACTTATTTTAGTGACATTTTACAAAACTACTATCACTACTACAAAATGCCACTTATATGTTCTTTTCATTGACACTTTCAAAAACTACAACTAAGCATGCGTAAATGCGTGTAAAAATTGAATTAATTTTTTAAGCAATTGAATATTAATCGCCACATCCTATATTAATTTGACATCCATTCATCCTTTAATATTTTCATAACAATAAACAAATATTACTACCACAGGATCATCACATCAAAAAAAAAAAAAAAAAAAAAATCAAACCACAATCAATTATTTATTATTGAAATATAAATTTATTTATATTGCAATAAAAATCCCTTGCCGAAATTATAAAATATTCTACTACACTAACAAAGTTAAAGCAAAAAAAATTAAAAAGAAAATTATTCCAACCATAAATTCTGAAAAGCCATAGTGACATCTATATTCCAGAGACAAATTATCAAAACAAAATCAATTCCCGAACTCTCAACCTCACTTGTATAAATATTCTCGGCTAGCATCCATAACTTGCAAAATCTGCATCCAAAAGATAAACTTATAAAGGTAATTGACACTATATTAAGTTAATATAAATTTGTTAATGAAATTATTATTTACGAAAGAAATATATCACAAATGGAGTAGGCCAAGCAACATGAGCTCCAATAGCTTGTCCAACTATTTTGACAAGTTCATATGATCTGATCAAGCTCTTATTAGGTTTGATTGGCACTTGAACATGTACCTCCCAATAGTCAGGTCATAGTTCTTCTCCTTCTACTTCTTTAAATGCGTCTGTGCTTTTAAGTACTCCGATTGCAACTGTTTATGTTGGTCTAATGATACTTTTTAGAACAACTACATCTCCCACCTATAAATCAAGATTTAATTACTTAAGTAATTATATATTTGCAATTAATAAATAATATTTAAAAAATAAACTAGTACAAAGTACCAGAGTAAAGATGATCATAACTGAAAGTGATATTCATTTTTCTAGTAGATACCAAATGATTTAATCACTTAATTGGTTCACCACACTACAACAAATTATATAATAGACCATATCAAATAATATCTTACAGAATCAATAACAACCAAAGACACCAATTAACAATTATCAAAACCATGCCCAAAGGATTTTGATTGACTTTCAGAGTTTCAGTTGTAACAAGAAAGTGAAAGCTTTGTGGAATTGTAACACCTTGCATGGTTGGAACAAAATGCTAGGATTTTCAAAGACAAGTTCGAGTACATAGAGTTGTTATGGGATAGAATGTCACCTGGCATCCTTTTGGGCTTCTGTTTTCTCTCCATTTAAAGGGATTCGTTTCTTTTGATTTCTAGAGATTGGATAGCAGTGTGATGTGTAGTTTTGAGGCATTGATTTCCTTTTTTCTTTTGTTTTTATTTATTGTGGCAGACTCATTGTCCTCCTGTTTGTATTTTTTCTCTCCTAATAAAATACTTTTTTGTTGCTGATAAAAAAAATAAATAAATAAATAATTACCTATATTATGCGGATGTTTGTGTGCGCATGAGAGAGAGAGAGAGAGAGAGAGAGAGAGAGTCATACATTTCTGGTGATCAAGCTTGCCACCATAATAACGGAATCCAGTATCTTGGGCAGCTGTGGAAAAAGGAGTCTGACGGTTCTTATCCTGGGCTCGTTGGCGAGCCAGCGCTGCTATCTTCTGAGCTGTAACCTGGGGCCCCAAGCCAGCTCTCATGGCATGAACCACCACTGCAGTAACCTCATTGTTGTACAAATTGTCAAAGAGTCCATCAGTGCCAGCAATTACAACATCTCCTGGAGCAACAGGAATTGTAAAGACCTGTATCAAACATGGGTCACATCGGTTGTTTATCAATTCCATATTCAATCAGGTAAATTTTTGAATAATTGCTGAGACATCATGCATTGTGTTATTCTGTGCTTTGCATGGCATTTGTTTGGTTGACATCAGTTACTGAAATTGTTTCTATACAACCAAAATTGCTGATTGAAAATGATCCTGTGGTTCTTGTGTGAAATGTATAGAAGAACTACTAGTCAGGTTAGGAAAAAGCTACTAGCCAGTTTCAGGGTCACTCCAGAATAAATGAGAAGCTAGCATGAAAAGTCAACGATGCATTCAAGTAGGAAAAGAAACTCAATGGAGAGAATTTTAAAAACCAACAATGGTTGAGAATTAAATGATGACTCAAAACATCCACAGAATATTAGATTATATAACCAGATAACACACAAATGCAAATTCATTATCATAACATGATATGTCAAATTCTTAAAAAAGTCCCAATGCCAACAAGGATTCCACTTGCACAAGTAGGGACGATAAAAATCCCAAACTCCGTAATGTTTCACTCACGAGAGAAACAGACTCGGTGCAAAACTCTGCAACTCACTAAAGAGAGTAGGGCACTTTTGGTGGTTCTGGGAAAGAGGGGAATAAAATCTCCAGGAGCATTGAATTGAACAGATGATCCATTAACATCACTTGCAAACAATCTAGAATAAAACTACCAAATTTATGCCATCACAAATATAGAATCTGCAAATCCACCAAAACAGAAACTTTCTGCACTAAGTGAGCAGCACAAAAGTTAAGTGCAGTAACTGACCTGACCAGAGCTAGGCAAATCACCGCCATTTCCACTCTCCAATTGGTATGTGAAGTTAAAATCATGCTGCTGCACAGGGGATCGGAAAATGGTGCATCCATCTCTAACCACTATAAGCCCACTGTCTCCTAAATTAATGGCATGCAGACCCTGCAAAACAAAGCAGAATTAAAAGTTCGTTTCTGCAAAATATACAAAATAGATGTTCCAGTTATCTTGTTCTTATTCCAAAGAATTAAACCATAAAATATAATCAGGTGACAATCAAAAGAAGATTTTATAATGGCCTCAACTAATCATAGAACCAGATATGAGTTTCAGTTCCTTTCATCCAGGAAAAGTGGGGTAACCCAGATCCTACTATATGAAGGGAGCATTCAAATGGAACAAAACCTTTTTTTTAACAAAGCATTGACAAAGTGTTCAGTCCCAAACTCTAGGTTAAGTTAGCTTTCAACCTTCTCAAGTCCAAAGCCCAACTCTTGCAAATTTTCCCTATGTTATATGGACTCTTCAATTTCGTTGAAGTGCCCATGTCAATATAAGATGAGGGTACAAGTACAGGACACCATTATGATCCTTTCGTTTTGATTAGGATACTTCTTATTTTTTTTCTTTTTTTGAGGAAAAATGAAATAAAATTTGGAGTAAAATCATTACATTCTATATTTTGCAGTACCAATACATAAAAAATATAATAAAATTATCATATTACATACAATTGCACACATTGGCAATATATTAAAAGTATAGTAAAATCATCATATTCTATATTTTGCAATACCAATACACAAAAAATATAGTAAAACTATCATATTACATACAATTGCATATATTCCGCCCCCGGCAGTGCCTTGGGGAGGATTTATAAATCGATGCAGAAACAAGATCGTTAGCACCAGCACTTGAAATATATATATATATATATATATATATCATTTGACCTTCATTATTGCAAGGGATTTTAGACCAAATTCACTTCTCAGCTGATTATCCTCCATTTTCAATTTAGCTAAAGATTCAAATGCTTCACTTATTTCTTTGAAGTTTTTTTTTTCTTCCTGCTCAACCAAACAGCACAACCACCAAAACTATAAACAATGATCCAAATGTACCACTCTTTGATCCCCATAAGTTTATTGGTAGTGCAAATGTGCCATTCAAAATAAAAGATCTTGCATTCACTATGGCTCACAACAAACTTAATACTAATGAAATGATTCAAAAAAGAAAACCAAATTGCTATTTATATCTGCAATAGTGTGTCATGTGTAGAAGGGACAAGGAGAGTAATGATCACTTGTTTTTTCATTGTCTTGTGGCATCGACACTACGGTGGAGAGTGCTAGATTTTGTGAAGGTCTATGGGGTGGTACCTTCTTCTGTACAGTTTTGCTTTGAATTTATGGGCATTGGTTCTAATATGAAGGCACAGGTTCTTTGGAGATGTGTAATTTGTGTGGCACTTTGAATGATATTTGTTGGAGAGGAACTTAAAAATCTTTGAGGATAGCTTATGAGATAAAATTTGTTATTTGGCTTCCTTTTGGGTTTTGATGTCTCCTAGTTTCCAAGGAATTCCTTTATTTTTTATTACTAGAGATTGGATAGCCATATACCATGACATGCAATGCATGGGGAGAATGCAATTTTTCAGGGGTCCCACCGACCTCCATTGCTACATATATATTAATGGAAGTGGGTGGAAACATTCCTTCTGAAGAGGTTTGGGTGGCAGTGGAAATCTAAGAGTCAACAGGATCTGAGAAAGTTTGCAATTCTTCGTGGGCTTTGCCATAAGGTGTGATTTTTTGCTCTAGAGGAATTGGAGGTCGTGCCTTAAATCGTATTTATTTTCTATACAGTAATTTTAAAAGGAGTTGTCTTTCATCAGGTTGGACTTGAGCTTGTCCCCAGGGATTATGATATGGACTCTGCAACCCCCTTCAAGAAGTCAGATATTATAAGCATGGTCCCCGTATACAAGGTACAATACATAGATAATTCACTTCAGAACTCACATGTTGAATTTTTGGTATGCTCTTTGAGTAAGTTCAGAAAATTTGGATATTTTCTATAGCATGTTGCATGTTCATCTGCGGATGGTTGTACATTGTTGGAATCATCCAAGATTTCCTTGGATAAGGGAAAATTGGAGGATGCTGTCAATCATGGCACTAAGGTATTGAAAATTGCTTTCTTCTTTTTTTTTTTTTTCCTTTTTATTTATTTATTTATTTTTTGTAGTTATGTAATAGTTCTCTTATGAATTCAATATTTATTTGCACCAATATTCTGTATTGAATTTTGAAGGCACTCTCAAAGCTTGTGTCAGTCTGTGGCCCTTATCATCGTATGACAGCAGGCGCATATAGTCTTTTGGCTGTAGTGCTCTACCATACTGGGGATTTTAATCAGGTATTTGTCTAACTTGTATAATTTTGTGATCACTGAACTGGTGACATGCTTATATTAATATAATTTTGTTCAAATAAACTCAAGTGCTTTGCATTTAAATTTTCGTATGATAAACACATTAATCTACTATATTTATACCGAAATGTGAACCGGATGCCCATACATGGGCCATATAGTCTTGAAGCTGGACAAGCCTATAGAAAGCTATGATCACGTGAGCACATCAATAATGGTCCACAAAAATTTATTAAGATTTAGAGGACGATATATATGCAACAAAATGGAAGTGAATTGTTCAGAACCTAAAAACAGAAACGAAAAATGTTGTGTTGCTGCCGTGCTACCTCATCACACCATATTTGGCTTTACCTATCCTATCAAGTTTGTGACTTTGGGGGACACATAATAGCAACATGTGGATTTCCAAGGCCAAGAGGAACTGTAACACCGATCAAATATAGTATAATAAATATAATCCAAAGCATACACGACAGCTGCATAAATCAGAGTACAAGTCCTTCCATTTCATAACATTGGCAATCTAAACTTGAGGACAAAAACATTTATTTAGATAATACGGGATCATTTGATATCAAAATTCATGTTCATCTAACTGAGTAATTTGTTAAAAAAACAGAGCAACCTAATGCAAAATTCCACTGAAGCATTTAAACAAACACTTGGAAGACATTATATACAATCACAACATAAATACAATAATAATAAATTACAACTAACCTTTTATATTAAAAGATGAAAATTAATAAATTCATGAGTTACAAAATTAGATTTTCAGATTGTATCAAGTTTTATGCCTAAAACAAGAAGATCATAAATAAGTGAGAAAGATAGAGGTATTGTGTGTGTTTATGAGTGTGAGAAAGAGAGAACGAATACCTAATGAACTCTGATCGTAGAAGAAGAAAACATAGCGAATTTGTGGTGTAGATGATAGATAAGGATGGAATGAAAGATATAGAATGATAAACCCTTTCTTCATGATTTGGCTCCCGCCTCTTTGACCAGCCAAAATCAAATTTACTTCACCAAATTCAGAATTTTGGACTTCCTTCTCGGTCTTTAAGTCGATCTGGTATGCGGATTTTGCTGTATCAAATTTGATTTGTTTCTTCAGTTGGGTTATTTCCTTTGTTGTGTAACATAAAAGGAAAAAAAAAAAAAAACAAGTAGAGAATGAGTTTGTTGATATTTTAAATATAAAAGTAAATATTGGTTCTTATATTTTTTATTAAATCAATCGTAATTTTAATTTTAAATTTTGTGTCAATTTAGTGTAATTAATAATACAGTTAATATTTTTGATAAAAAATGATTACTGAATTTGTTGAGGCTAACTCAACGAATTGAGCAAATTTATTGTTTTATCTCTAAAAAAATGACATATGTCACTTAATCATTAACAAATGCTAACAATTAGGGCTAATTACACTATTAGTCTCTCTATTTTGGCTATTACGTGATTTTAGTATTCGTAATTTCAATTGAATCGATTTTAACCTTGAATTTTTTATTTTGTCTTAAATTAATCCAATTGATAGCATTTTTTTATGACACATGAAACCTGTCATCGTTTTAGGAATAAAACAAAATACTTTGTCAATTCGGTGGCTTAATCTTAACCAATCTAATGAAAATTTTCTATCAAAGACCCTAAATATTTTACATCAATTGAACTAAATTTACGTAAAATCTAAAATTAAGTGTTAAAATTTAGTCAATTAAAACTATGTAGAACAACAAAATATAAGGATTATTGATGTAATTTACCCAATAATTATAAGCAATTGAAATAAATTTTGAAAATATATTGACATTTTTTGCTTTTTCAAAAAATGCCATTAGATAGGTTGGAAATTTTTTAGCTTAGTGGCATTTCTCAAAATGCTATAAAATATTGTTTATGACACTTTTCACCTAATGCCATAGAAAGTAGCTTGCACCTACCTAGTTTAGTGACATATTTTAAAAAAATGTCATTGCTACTAAAGTTTAGTGGCATCTGTTGACAAATGTCACTAAAAAAATTTCTTGTGTCATTATTTTATAAAATGCCATAAAATTGATATGACATTTCTTTATTGAAATGCTACTAGAGCCTTATATGTTTGTGATTTTGTGGCATTTATCTAAATGTGTCACCAAATATTATTTTTGTGGCATTTTCTAAAAACATGCCACTAGTATAGTGTCATTAAAGTGTGTTTTTGTTGTAGTTTTATGACACTTGTTCATTGAAATGTCACTAGAGTCTTTTATGTTTGTCGTTTTGTGGCATTTTTAAAAATATGCCACTAGTGTAGTGTCACTAAAATATGTTTTTGTTATAGTGCTCCTTATATTCTGGAAATTACAAATGCTTCATTGTGAGAATTTATTCTTCAATTCAACTGACCTAACATAAAAAAATCAAATTACTCAACATAAAATATTTGCAATCCCTAAAAAAGTCGCTTAATTTAAGTCACAATGATATGTCATGATAAGTGTAAACTTTTGATTTGTCACACGCTTAACTATATTGAACCTAACTCTATTGCTACATCATTGTAGATAAATAATTGTGAATCTTTAGCATTTCTCATTATCCAAATATCCTCTAGTAGCAAAATGAAAATTATTATACTACTTTCATTTCAATCCACAATTCACCAAATCATTCTCTCCATGCCATTATGATAGTCTTCAACTCTCTCTGGCCACACATCAAATATTTATAGGCAATAATTATAATAGTGTTAATTGAGAGTGGGAGAGAATAGTGTTGAAAAAAAATGGGGAATAATGAACGTAGAGTAGGACAAATAAAAAATAAAATAAAATTTTTAACTTTATAAAAGTTAATATAAGTATTTAAAATAAAAAAATTGTCGCTTGTATCGTAGATTCTGTTAGTTAAAGGTTAATTAACGAGCCACCAGGGGTGGTGGCCTAGTGGAGAAGGCATCCCTCTTCATAGGCGTGACCTAGGTTCGAATCTTGGAGAGGCGAAAAATGGTTGCTTTGTAGCTGACTTTCTTATGAGACCTCTTCCTATATTCCGATCGAAACTTGGGCTCGTCTGTGGCGTGTGATTGAGTTCCATTGATACTTTGGTGGTGGGTCCCTTCCTATGAATTGAGTCAAATCAGGCCAGCAACTGGTTATCCCGGCACTTGAGTCTATGAATGCCATGATGATACCTCAGAGTATTATTTTTTCATGTTCAAAAAAAAAATAAATAAATAAAATAAAAGTTGATTAACGAAAAATGTCATTTGTTATATGATTAAAAATCTCAAGAGATTAGATGTAATTTTCCGAATGTGATAGAATAATCTATATTTTTAATAAACAAAAGGTATATTTTTAATTTGTCAAATTTTTATTTTATTTTTTATTACGCAGAAAAAAAACATTTTCATTTACTTAAATTTATATTAAACTTAAATTTAAATAATTTTTTTTAAAAAAATATCCTTCACTCGTGGACTCAATTTATACCAAATAAAATTTTACTCAAATTTTTGCTTTAAATCAAAGAGACTCAAATGTTTAACTAAAATTTTCAAGATTGTTGTGTGACTCAAATTTATAAATTTGAATAAAATTTTGAGGAAAGCTAAAGATTGCCTAATGTGAGCTTTTTTATAAACATCAAATGTTATCTCTCTATTTATTAATGAATATAGTAATAAAAAAATGTTTAAGACTCTTCAAAAGGTTCTCTAAATTTGACCAACTTTTGATTTATCACATACTCAATTATATAATGCCTAACTTTCTTATCACATCATTATGGGTAAGTTTGTGGAAAAATTATTAGTTGGTATTGGAACGTCACGTTGTCATACCTCATACCAATCATAATTTACCATACCTTCAGATTCTCCAATCATCCAACACAAAATTATAGACCCTACTTCCTCCACCAATCACAACATCATTAGGGCACCACGTGATGGTGTCCAAAACCAACCAATAATTTCTGGAGTTTGTGAGTCTAAATTATAAATATATAATATTTCTCAAAAATAATTACACGACTCTATAATTGAATGGATACGCTTAAATTATAGACTCCATTGAAAATTTTTATTTGAGTAATGTATGGTGCTGTTTGATAACATTTATAATTTATTTTTTTTAGTTTATAAAAAATATTAAATATATTTATATTAATTTTGATTAAAAACGAAAATAAAAATATATTTGGTGTACAAGATTTTTAAAAATATATTTTAAAAACAAGTGAAATAGATGATTACAAGAGGAGGTTGTTGACAATTAAAAATGATAGCCAGAGGTAATTGTTGGCCATAGGAGGTGGTTGGTGGTAACCAGAGGTAGTTGTTGGCTACAGAAATAGTGGGCGAAAGTGATTGTCGATAGTAAAAAATTGATGGCTAATTGGCCTCCTAAAGTTATAGCTAAATGTGATTTTCAATCAGAGCTGGTGGCCAAATGTGGTTATTGGTTATAGGAGGTAATGGTTGGAAGTGATTGACAGTAAAGTTTATTAATAATGTAGCCCGTAGAGATGAGTAATAGTTGGTTGTTGAAAAAAAAATAGGAGGAAGAGAAAAAAAATTAAAAATAAATAAGTGAAACTATTTTTTTTTTTTTGTGTGTTTAGTAAATTTTGTAAACTATTTATGACATTCTAAAACCAAAACAAAACAAGTTTTGTTTATAATTATTAAAAATTCTATAAAATAAATAAAAAATTATTGATATAAACGTTATCAAATATTTACTTATAATTGTTTTTGTTAATTGATGCGACAGTTGTTATATTATTATATTAGTGCTTAAAAAATGACTTTCTTAAAAAATTTATATACAATTTATTATTAGAAGCACACGAGAGCACCATTTTTTAAACTTTTAGATCAATAGGTGCAAATTTAAATCTTTTTGAATTAAAAGAACATTAATATTTTTAAAAGGATATTTATTTGTTTATGTAACGCCCCCAAAATAATAACATTAAACCCAACAAATAAGACATGCAGTGATATACAAAAGCTCCACATTCTTTCATTTATCAGAGTT